TCAGTGAACATGTGGAGATATGAGGAGAGTGGCATGCTCAGAGACCATGAAAGATTTAGAAACTTTCCCTATGCCTTACCTTATGCATCTCTTCCATCTGGCTGTTCCTGAGTCTATATATATATATAAAACTTGTAATATGTAGTAAGTAAAATGGTCATCTAGTAAGTAAAATGCTTCTCTTGAGTTCTGTGAGCCCGCTTTGTGTGAATGGATTAATCAAGCTGAAAGCAACATCTGGTTGGTCAGAAGCAAGGATGGAAACCTGCATTATTTGCTACTGGTGTCTGAATATGTGTGTGTGTGTGTGTGTGTGTGTGTGTGTGTGTGTGGTAGGAGCAGTCTTGTAGGACTGAGCCCTAATCTGTGGAATCTTATGCTATCTTTGTGTAAATAGTGTCAGAATTGAGCTGCATTTGTACAACACTCAGGTGGTGTCTGATAATTGCTTGGTGATACGGGGAACCCCCTGTCCCTCCACACTGGACTTGGTACTACAGCTGACTCTTGAACAACGTGGGTTTGAACTGCGTGGGTCCACTTATAGGTGGATTTGTTTCAGTAAATACACATCCTTAGATTCAACCAAATGTGAATCAAAATTTCTATCCATGGTTGGTTAAATCTGCATATGCGAAACTTGTAGGTAAGGAGGGCTGACTGTATTATGCCATTTTACATAGGGGACTTGAGCATCCGTGGATTTTGGTGTCTGCACGGGCTCCTGGAACCAATCCCCTGAGGATACTGAGAAACGACTATAGAATCTTAGGTTGGAACAGAGAAGTTCATGGTCCATTTGAGGTTAAAAGTATTCAGAATTACAGCTCCTGAGGGTAACTGTTGTGCCTCACCTTTGTGCAGCTTGTATGGTTTATGAAGTGTTTTCTCCAGTGTTAACTTACTTGCTCTTCCGTGGATAGCAAAATGTTTATTCACTGTACCTTTCATAGTGACTTCACAGGTGCTAAGAAAAATTTGTTTGGAGAAACAAGCTAATTTTTTACCTGGATCCCATAGCTATTCTGATAGATGAGTAGTGGTATCTCATTATGGTTTTCATTTTCATTTTCCTAATGGCTAGTGCTATTAAACATTTCATGTGCTTATTTGCGATTTGTATATCCTTTTCAATGAAGAATCTCTTCATATCTCTTGTCCATTTTCTAATCAAATTGTTTATTTTCTTACTGTTGAGTTTGAGCGTTCTTTATATGTTATAGACTTATGTTGTTATAGACAACTTCTTTGTTGGCTATGTAGTTTGTAAATATTTTCTCCCAGCCTCTAGCTTGACTTCTTATACTCTTAAAAGAATCTTTCACATAGTAAATGATGTTAGTTTTTTTTTTTTTTTTTGCGGTACGCAGGCCTCTCACTGTTGTGGCCTCTCCTGTTGCGGAGCACAGGCTCTGGACGCGCAGGCTCAGCAGCCATGGCTCACGGGCCTAGTTGCTCCGCGGCATGTGGGATCTTCCCAGACTGGGGCACGAACCTGTGTCCCCTGCATCGGCAGGCAGACTCTCAACCACTGCGCCACCAGGGAAGCCCCAGTGATGTTAGTTTTGATGACGTCTAGTTTACCTATTTTTCCTTTTATGGTTCACCTCTTTCCTGGTTTATTGCAGTAGGCCCACTGTTCTGATTCTGACCTTGCCTCCCAAAAGTCTGTTCTTAACAAAGCAATTAGAGTGATCTTTTAGAATGTAATTTCTCATTTGAAACTCTCCAAGCTTCCCATGTCACTCAGAGTAAAAGCCAAAGTTTTAGCAGTAGCCTATAATCCCTATATAATTTGGTTCCTCATTATCCCTCTGACTTCCCCTCTTACCACTCTCTCCCTCCCTCAGCCACACTGGCTTTCTTCCTGGTATTCAAACAGGCCAAGCAACCCCTGACCCAGACTCCAGTCTCTTTTTGCCTAAAAAATGTAACCTTGGCTCTAAGCTCCCTTATTGCCCTCAGGTACTACTGAGATGAGGCCCTTTTAGTGAAGCCTTCCATGATCTTCCATTCAGCATAGAAATTCCCCTATTTCCTATAGTCCCATATCCAGTTTCTTGTTTTATTTTTCATCATGGTACTTGCAAATATCTAACCTACTAGGTATTTTACTTATTTTAAAAAAATTGTCTATCTTCTCCTCTAGAATTAAGCTCCTTGAGAGGAAATCTTTGCATCTCTTTTGTTCTTAAATGTTCAAGTACAGAATCTAGAGAGCCTGGCACATAGGAGGGGCTAAATAACTGTTTATATAATGAAGAATGGACAGAGAAATGAAGGAATGACCAAAGTATGTCCCAACCTAGCTGGGGCTTGCTGTGATGAATCCATTGCTTCTAGGTTGGACAACCTGAGCTGGTACGTTTGGAATCATCTTTCCTTTTCTGAGGAGAGGTTCATTTCTTTCAGAAATTCAGGGTCTAAGAAAGATGCCTAAAGAATCGTCCTCCTTGGAATGATGGAAGTAGAACTTCTAATGAAAGTTCAACTCCTAAGGAAGTGGTGATCAACAACCGTTGTTATGCTCTTTGTTAAAAGGTTGGTGAGGAGCATTGTGGTTCCTCATCATTATGGATGGAGGGACCAAGCTGACAGTACCTGAGCTCACTGATCAACCTTAACTTCATTAAAAATCGGACAGGGCTTCCCTGGTGGCGCAGTGGTTGAGAGTCTGCCTGCCGATGCAGCGGACGCGGGTTTGTGCCCCGGTCTGGGAGGATCCCACATGCCGCGGAGCGGCTAGGCCCTTGAGCCACGGCCGCTGAGCCTGCGTGTCCGGAGCCTGTGCTCCGCAACGGGAGAGGCCACAACAGTGAGAGGCCCGCGTACCACAAAACAAGCAAACAAACAAAAAACCGGACAACTTCCTGTTGCAATGCAATAGGAAGGTACACAGCATCACTTATAAAATAATCTTGTAGTAACATCAAATCGAATCTAAATCTAATTAATTCTCTAGTAACTACTTGTTTATAAGAAAATAGAGGTAATAGGGAACATCTTAAATGACATCACAGGAATACAATCAACAGATTCCTGTGGAAAATTCTACAGGATAAATTACTTAGTTTCTTCAACAAATCAGTGCCAAAAAAAAGGGAGGGAGAACTGTTGTAGACTAAAAGACACATTGACATATTGCAAGGTGTGGACCTTCTTTAGATCTTGATTTCAATAGATCATGTATAAAAAAGACATTTAAACACATTTGGAGGAAATTGAGTATGGCTTAGTTATTGTGGTAAGAAGAAATGATGATTAAATTTGTTGGGTGAGATAATGATGTTACGTTAGAAACAAGTTTTTATCTGTTGGAGATAAATACTATGGCATGTAAGGAGAAATTACATAATGTCTGAGATTTGCAATAAAAAACAGCACTTCCCCCACCCTCCCCAAACTCCTAAACCAAAATAAATACACAAAAAACTAAAAGTGTGCGAGTGAGTGAGTGTGTTTGTGTGTGTGTGTGTAGCAGAACAAGAATGGCAGACTTTTGATAATTGTTGAAACTGGGTGATAGGTAAATGGTGCTGCATTCCTTTTATATCATTCTCTTTACTTTGAGTATGTTTGGAAATTTCTACCACAAAAAAAACTGAGAAGAAAAATCCTCCTTGCCCCTTCTTTTCTAGGGATCCTCCAAGAAGCAGAAAGATTTAATTTCATCAGCAAACCCTCACAAGGCTGAAGTTGTCCTCTCTTCACTCTCCCGTTGCCTGAAACCTTAAGTCATTCTGCAGTGCCCTTTCAAATTGGGACCCACCTCAGTCCATGTGGTATTTCTAATGAAAGCAGTGACTTCTGGGAGTCTACCTCGTCCCGTGCACCAATACTCCCACTGGATCCTGGCCACTACCTCAAAATGAGGTGTCTCTAATTCTAGAGTGGAATCAGGAGGATCCAGATGCATTGCCACTTATAACTGGTATAAATTACAGCCCACAAGCAGAGGTGTGCAAGAAACAGTACGAAAAATTTTTTTATAACTCCACGTAATTTGTATTTTAAGCCTTGATCCTGCTGGTGTCCTGTTTGGATTTCCGCCATCCCTATTTGGAAGTCATACAGGGCCAAGCTTTTGAGGGAGTGGGTGGAAGCATGATCATTGTTGACTGGAGCCCACAGTTGTAAGTGTAGATGTCCATCAGCTTGGGGGCCATGCCTCCTTTAGGTTTGGTGGCTGCTGTGCCATGCATGGGACAGGTTGCCATGATTCTGCTTGTATGCACACTATAGCCATCTCCTTTTAGAGTTTTTGCCCCATTTACCCCTCCAGCCACACTTGAGAGGCCTTTTCTCCTCCAGGATTTGCAGACATCTCTCTCTGACTTAATTAGCACATTTCAACACTCCAGTAGGGGAACAAGACAGTACCTAATTTCAAAAACCTGCTTCTGTTAGGTTTCTGCTCAAGTATCCTCTCTTTTCCATGGAGTTTGCAATTTTAGAAATAAAAGCCAAGATCATCAGTGTGCTATTTCAGTTATGCCCTGCCAGGCTCTTCCACTGGCCAGAGAACATAGGGTCTGCTACCCACCTGAATGCAGAAGGGAAAGGGTGAAATAAAGGAAGAAAAGAAAATAAACAGGAACAGATTAACATCTCAAAATATCCTGCCACATTTGAAAGATGTGAGAGTTGAATTCACGGGAAAGGTTCTACTGGGAAAAAGGAATTGTTCTTGAAAATGGGGTCTGTGCTGTTGCAGAGACTGTTGAACCTAGGTCCACAGAATGCTCTGATGTCATCCTTGAGGTCAGAGAACTCTACTGTGGCCCTGGCAACCTTTGAAACTTAACAGCTCTGGTGAGCACTAGGCAGTACTGCCAGTTCACTAAGTGGTCTGAGTTCTTCAGCCATTTAGGAGACTTGACTATTTTTATTTGTATTGAATCATTTCAACGGATTTCCCAAGAGCCAAGAAGGGCCAACCTGTAGGGAAGAGGCGGAGTTGGACGTGAAGCATCTTCTAAGGGAGACTTCTAGTTGGTATGATGAAACGGCGACAAAAGAGGAAACATCTGGAATATGAAGAGTCCCAGGAAACTGCCAAGAAGGGAGGAGGTATGTGGGGGGCAACTTGTCTAGGGCACATGGGTTTCTGCCAAACTGAACCTTCTCTAGGAAGGGGGGGTTACTGAGAACGTGTCACCTGTGAAGCAGGGAGCGAGAGACCTTGTCTCACTGATGTTGCCGTATCCATCCAGAGGGTCCCTGTGGTGTGAGACGGCACAGAACGGCCAGATGCCCCTGGGAGATGGGAGGTCAGCTCCGCTGGTCTGAGGACTCTCTCCTGGGGCTGCCGGGCCTGGAGCTTTGTTGGACTCACCGTAGGCTGCATCCTGCTTGCACAGACCTAGAGGTGCAGCTTTTCTCAGTCCCCGAGTTGTCTCTTATTCTCTTTGATCTTTCCCTGGGGTCATGAGGTGTGGGATGTGAAGGATGCAAGGATGCTGAGAGAGACCCATGAGTTGCTTGGCCCCTTTTACCAAAGTGGAAAGAGAAGCCCCATGAGTTGAAGGCCTTGTTGAAAAATACCTTGAGAAGGGGAATGCAGTTCGAAAGAAGATTGTTTGTCTAGGGATGGTGTCATATTGAAAGCAAGGAGGTTTTATTCCTTCAACAGGAAGAATTTCCCAAAGGAAATCAAGGGAAGGGAAGGGCTTTCCAGAGACTGAGACCTTGTGGGCAGGGGTGAGAAGTGTCCTCTGGGTCCTGCGGGGAGCTCTGAGAGCCACGGGCCACGTGGTGCCTGCGTGCATTAAATGTAGGCGAGTAGCTTGCCCTGGGAGAGGGGTGGTCATGTGAGGAAGTGGGGCAGAGTGGAGCCCACCCCAGAGTTCCAGCTAGAGGCCTCTGCCCCAGATTAGAGCCCAGTAGCTCCTACCGGGCCCAGGGCCCTGGAGACTGTAGGATGGGCCCTAGGAATGGAGGTCTAGACAGCAGGCAGATTTTCAGGCAGTGGCTGGGACAGGCTGGGGAAGGCAATGACTGCCCCTGCCCCCACCATTCAGAATATTTTTCTCTATGTTCCTGTGTGTGTGTGTGTGAGAGAGAGAGAGAGAGAGAGAGAGAGAGTGTGTGTGTGTGTGTGGCGGGGAGTGGAGAGAAGAGCGGGATGAATGGGGGTAGAGTGCTTGTCAGATATAAAGTCTGCGTGGTAAAGTTCTTGTCACCCTGCCTGGACCTGGGTGACACTCGGTGTATGTAAGAGTGTATACAGAATTATTGTTAGGGGTGTTTTATGAGACAGTAACTCATACACCCATGTACACTCTGATACAGCAAAAATATCACACACCCCACATATAACTTCCTTATTAAACCACACACAGCACATGTAGGTATATACATGCATCACTCCTGTACTATGTTCTCATACACCCCACCTGTATCACAGTCCTCTCCTCCAACACCAAACGCTGGAGGTGAGATACTATGTATATATGACACACACACTATGTATATATGACACACACACTATGTATATATGACACACACACTATGTATATATGACACACACACTATGTATATATGACACACACACTATGTATATATGCATCTCCTCAACTCTCGCACAAACACAGCTAACTTCAGCTCTCTCTAAATACCTCTGTAAGAACCAGTCACATGTCATACACACCACACTTATAACACATTCTTGAGTAATGCCAGACTCGCTTTGTACAAACCACAGTAAACCACAGTCTCACTGACCCATGTCAGGGTTGCCAGATAAAATGTGGGCTATCCAGTTAAATTTGAATTCCAGATAAACAACAAGTAATTTTTCAGTATGAGTATGTCCCAAGTATTGTATGGGCCATACTTACACTAAAAATAAGTAAGACCAAATAGTGCACGGGAATACTTACACTAAAAAATTATTCTGGGTTTATCTGAAATTGAAATTTAACTGGGTGCCCTGTATTTTTGTTTGCTAAGAGTGGCAACCCTTATATACTTACCACCAGCTGATGTATTGTATATTTGTTGTATTTTTGTTTAGTGTTTGTCTTCCCCTACTAGAATGTGCAGCATTACCAGAGACTAGAACAATGAAAGAGTGCCGGATACATAGGAGTAGCTGCTTACTGAATCTTGGTGAATGGAAGAATGAACACACACCATAAATACAAGCCACACCATGTAATGAGGAAAAGTTACATGTCCCAGAATTCCTGACTTGTGAACAGAAACCATGCACACAAAGGCCACAGACACAGATAGACACATCTGCACTGTGCTCCCCATGCCAACCCCACACTTACCACAGACTTAACTGATACATATCACTCACTCTTGCCACATACTCACAGTCACCACCGAGGCCTACATTACCAACAAGACACTGACAGAATAAGTATTGATTTGAATTAAATACTGGAGTGTCCACTGGGAACCACACTCTCAACTGTGTGTATTCGCTGCACCTGACACGTGTCAGGCACTTAGTAAATGTTTGTGGACAGAGGACTGATGAACCCACCCCGAGCCTTTCATTCCTCCCTCAGGAATCTCGAAGTCACAAGAGGATTCCCCTCACCTCGGATCCACTGTGGTGGCCCAAGGCTGCAGCCCAGGTTCAGGGGGGCTCTCCTCTGCCTCTGAATACTTCTCCTGTGCTTCATCTCCGCGCAAGCTCGTGTGCAGTGGTAAGGGCGCGGGGCTCCTCACGTGAGGGGCTGCTTGGCTGTGAGGCAGGAGGCACCAGATCCCAGGGAGGCTGAGAGGAAACCCAGGGTCATCAGAGGTGATGAGGGCTCTGTGGAGGAGCCTGGGCAGGATGGCTGAGCTGTTACGAGGGCAGGGATCCCAGCTGAGTCTGGGGGGCGTGTGAATCCTGGTACCACCATGGTGGGGAAGTCAAGGAGCAGGGGCCGGAAAGGTCTGGGCTTGAGGTGGAGGGCAGAGGGACCGGATTAAGCATCTTCAGGGGAAAATGTAGGGTTTGTCTTTGCCTTTGCTTCCAGAGAAGGACAGAGTTCTTCATCATAGACCTCTAGCCTGTGAGCAGCACCATCCAGCTCAGGTCCACACAGCTCACACATACATCCGCCCTCCAGGCACAGCCCTTCTCAGTGCACACATAAACCCCAAGCACGTGATCCACAGTGCTCTTCTGCACCACAGCCCCATTCCACAAGTAATGCACCACCGATATTCCCAAACTCACACTCCTTGTGGTACACGCATCCTTCCGCATCCCTCACATACCACAGCCCTCACCACCATACTCCACACCCCTGTATACAGACACCCCTCCAGTACCCCCCCACACGCAGATGAAAAGCCCACACAGATGACACCAGATACACCACTCCATCCTACGGCCAACAGACACCAAGCTCATGACACAGCTATGTCATGCAAATGTCCCTCCCTCGTCTACCACACCTGCTCCCTCAGCTTTCGGCATGGCCCATGCATGTTATTATGTTTTTAATTTCCTTTTTCAGAAATCCAGAAATTACATCGAGACACTGCCCAGCCTAGAGCACCCCTAGCCCAGGTTCAGGAACGAGGGGTGACCGCTCCCCCATCACAGTATGTCTCCTTCTCATCCTGTGAGGCCTCTCTGTATACAGACAAAGAGGAAAGGGGCATGAAAATATTCTACATGCGGGTACAAGTGAACAAGGGTGTAGCTGTCTCCTGGATGATAGAGAAACCCTTGGCGTTGCAAGAAAAGCAGCTGAGGAGAGAAGTGACCCTTCCTGGCAATGCCACCTATCATGTGTCCACCAGAAACCTGTCTGACAGTGAGCCCACTGGAGCGGAGAATAAGTATGAGGAAAGGGCAGACAGCCCATCAGGGTCACCTGCAGTCAAGGAGACAACCAGGGCCAAGACACCAGACTGGCTGGTGACCATGGAGATGGGCTTCAGGTGCATGGCCTGCTGCCGGGTCTTCCCCACCTTGGAGATCCTCCAGCAGCACGTGCAGTACGGCGTCCAGGAGGGCTTCAGCTGCCACGTCTTTCATCTCACCATGTCCAAGCTGATGGGGAATGTAGAATCCAAGAGCACCTCTGAGGAGGAGAAAGAGAAGCAAGAAGAAAAGGAGAATGAGGGGCAGCAGCCCATGGGGGAAGACCTCTGCCCGAGGAGCCAGTATCCAGTCTATGTGTTTCATTCTCCAAAGGACAGGAAGTGAGCAGGGGCTGGGGCTGCGGAGGGAGCTGTACCTTCCCCGAGCCAGTCCCGTCTCACCACCCCAGGCTCATGCTTCCATAAGGGAGAGTTGGGGGCTTTAGCACCTGAGGGGACAACTGAATGGGAGATAACCGGCTCCTGTGCTTCTGGCCCAGTCATTTAATAATAAAGTCATGACTGTAAGTGGGAATTTATCCTGAGCTTTTCAGCTCCCACAGGAAATTCTCTTTAGCTAAGAAGTGTTTTTCTCTCTTTTGATTTCCACACAGCAACTGAGATTCATGGGACAGAAGATCCCAGAAGACAGTGTGGCCTTCTCTTGGAAGAGGTAAGGCTGGAGGCTGGCACAGTCTTCTGAGCCTATGTCACGAGGGCCCAGAGGAGTCTAAGGGAAGGGGCCGCAGAGATGTGCTGGTTTACTTAATGGCTCTGCAGTTGCGTCGACTTGGGATACACCCAGCACTTCCAAAGGCATTGACCTCTGTTGACTTAAACAAGAATGTGGAGCATTCTGACTAGGAGTTTTCTCAGGGCCTGCATGGTGGACCTCAACTCTAAGAGGACGTACTGCCAGCAGCTCCTCCTTGGCAGAGAGAGCCAGGAGTGGTCTGAAGAGAGGACAGGGGCCCTTGCAGGACCAGAACTTTGAGGTCTGAGAGCCTTTGGCCTGAGCTGAGATCTCACCCTGACCACTGTACCTAGCCTTCTGGGACAAAGGGGAATGTGAAAGAGAGTCACGTGGAAATGAGGTCCCCCGAGATAGGGAAATGTTCCAGAACCTTCGTTGTGCGGTAGTTGATCTGGAGCCAAGCTCACTGTGCTGTGTGTGGCTCTGAGCTTTAAGGCAATGCTGGAGGGTAACCCTGACCAGCAGAGCTTATAGTGCTTCTTGTCTCTTCCTGTTCTACCTCATTTGTTTTCTCCCTTCCAGGGAGAAGAAAGGACCCTTGGGATAGTAGCAGACAGAATGCTGTGGTCTGAAGGAGGATGAAGGGACCAGCACTCAGTCTAACATTAATATATTGTTATAATCATCATATGCAATAAAGGGCATTTTCCAAACCTTTCCTGGATGTTTTATTTAATTACACTTTTCTATCTATGCATCTGTCTATCAGTCATGTACATCTGTATCTTTCAAGGTTTGTGAACAAGCTTTCACATAGGCACTAGAGACGTCCGCCAGCATTTTCCAGAAGGAGGCCTGGAAATTGCTGGGGACTTCTCACACGTAGGGAATGGCGACAACCCTTGCCACACAGACTGTGTGCGTGGCCCTCCTGACTTACTCCCACTCCCTCTCTGAATTTCCTGAGGTCTGAGATGGGGGTGCTGGCTGGAGGCAATGATCACGTGCAGGCTGAATCTTCTCCAGATTCTGATTCTTTTCCTGGGCATATCGTCCTCAAGCACAGTTTCCGTGTCCCTGGCCACACTGATCTCTCTCTTTCAGTCCTTCCCTCCCTCTCCTGCCTCCCAGTGCAGAGAATACTTTTTACATTTGAGATGAGATTTATTTTTTGTTCACAGAATTCTCACCTGTTCTACTGTGGCCTCCATTTTTAACATTCCAAAGCTGAGAATTTTCTTTTTTCTCCCTCATTTCTGCTGAGTCTTTACCTTCCTAATGCAGTGAACTCAGAGTGCCTAGCTGACTGGATGGGGAAAAAAATCCAGGGAGCAAAGAGAAATAATAAAAAATATATCAGTTAATTTTTCATAGTGTTATCCAACTGTATATTTTTAAAATTTAGGAATAATATTAGGAATATTCTCTTTATAAAAAACTGAATTATTGGGCTTCCCTGGTGGCGCAGTGGTTAAGAATCTGGCTGCGAATGCAGGGGACATGGGTTCGAGCCCTGGTGTGGGAAGATCCCACATGCCATGGAGTAACTAAGCCCGCGTGCCACAACTACTGAGCCTGCGCTCTAGAGCCCGTGTGCCACAACTACTGAGCTCACATGCCACAACTCCTGAAGCCTGCACGCCTAGAGCCCGTGCTCCGCAACAAGAGAAGCCACTGCAATGAGAAGCCCGCTCACCACAACGAAGAGTAGCCCCCGCTCACTGCAACTAGAGAATGCCCGCTAGCAGCAACAAAGACCCAATGCAGCCCCAAATAAATAAATTAATTTTAAAAAACTGAATTATTTTAAAGGGTACAATGTATAACAGTACAATAAAAGTCCCCCTTCATAACCCCCCAACCCCACTCTCAAGACTACTTCCTTTTGTAGAGATTATTGATCACTAGCTGTCTGATTTCAAGACTTTTGGTCCATGAATTTACATATGTAGGTGCTTTATATGTGATTTATAGCTTTATAGAGATTTTTTATTTATAAATTATACCATCTCTATTCTAAAATAACATTTTGAGTGGAGATATTTTAATGTCTTTAGTATAGAGATTTAGTATAAATCTTTGCTGTAGGTCTATCCCATTTTTTAGGCAAATGTTATTTATTTACTTCTAGTGACAAATCATAATATAATTATTCCCTTATTGATGGACATTTCGAGAAAGATACTCTTTTTCTCCTGCAATTGTCTTGTGACTTTACCTGTTAACCAGATTGTGTTTCTTCTAAGTATTTTTGATTTATAAATTGTACCATACTATATCTATTCTAAAATTAACATTTTGATTGGAGATCTTTTAATGTCTTTTATATAGATATTTAATATTAATATTTTAAATAGTCTCCAGTTTCCCTGTGGATTATTGACATTTTAAACTCTGCACTTCAATTTTCCCTCAATACCTGTAATTTTGTCATGGCTATTTCTGTACTTAAAGATGAGTAACTATATGATTGATTTCTTCATTTTTTTCCATCTCTTTCCAAGGTACTGAATTTGATTGTGTCTTATGAATTAGTGAAAAATGCTAGTCCTTGAGTCAGGACATTGGGCCCTTTACCCAGTAACTCAACCTACCTGGGCTTCAGCTTCTGTATGTGTGATCAAGAGGCTTGCACTAGCTGACTTTTCAAATGCTGTGTTTCTTTGATTCACTCTCACTTACTGATCTGCTACTTAAGAAGAGGGTCTGTTCTCATAAAGTAAGAACGGTCTTTTTTTAATCCTTGGGTTGGGCAGAGTTTAATTGGTCATACTCAGTTTGTTAGTTCTATTTACTTTTACATATGCTTAGCTCTAAATAATTTATATAGCTCTTGTGACTATTTTTAGATCTTATTTTTTTCTTATTGTCTTTTACAGTTTCTAATTTGTTATCGCCAGTGTAGAGGAGCCTGATTGATTTTTTAAATTTATTGATCTTGTATCTGTCTGCCTTGTTGAACCGTCTTATTAGTTCCTACTAGTTTATCTGTGGGTTCTTTTGGGTTTCCTAGATAAATGAGCATATTAAATGTAAATAATGTGTTCTTTGGATAAAGTTTATTTTCTTGCATCTATATATATACAAGCAATATGTTGAATTGATTTAAATATTTAAATACTTACATACCTGTTGTCATAATCTAACATTCTTTATCTTATTTTCTTTCAATCAATATTATGTTTTCAAGATTTATCCACATCAATCCATATAGATCTAGGTCTTTTATTTTTGACTGTTTGATATTATTTCGTCACATGCGTATAGCATCATTTATTTTCCATTCAAGCATTATTGGAGAGTTGGATTGTTTCCCTCCCTTCTCTAGAACAAACAATGTTTCCTAGAATCTCCCTGAAGATGTTTGACAGTTGAGAAGGGCCAGGCTGCCCGAAGGATATTCCTACTTGCTTTTAGCCACCTTCCAACAGGCCATCTCCAGCCAGCAATTTGAAGCACAGATGAAATGAAAGCTCCCCCAAATGTGGAGATCTTAGGAGCTTCATAGAAGGTGGGAGGTTAATGATAGGCATCCTGCTGGGATCCCAGGGGAGTCTGAGCTGGCCTGAACCTCTTCCTCCTCCTCCATCTCTCAAGAGAAATGTGGAGGAAAGAAGACTTCAAAAACTGTGAGTAGGCAGAGGGAGAGATATTGGGGGCCGAAGCTGTAACTGAGGTCTTCGAGTGGGCTGTGAGGACACAGAGCCTCTAGAGAGCCAGGCTCTGCCTTCTGAGAACTTCTCCCCTAAGGATGCCCATGATGAAGGTGATACCAGGCATATACACCCGACTTGGTCCACACTGTCACAGAAAGCCTTATCAGAATCTCTTCTTTTGCATACACTCTTGTGTCTGTTACTTGGTTATTGCCTTTGGTACTCCACTGATGTCAACCACAGTCTCTAGGGGATGGAGGACACTAGTGACCCATCTTGCTCTGTGGCATTAGTCCACAGCTTGAGGGTAAGGGAGGAGGCCAAATGAAGCTCAAGAAGGAAAGATGGAGTTTGAAGAGAAGACCTGAGTTAAGGGTGTCTTCTCAAGTCTTGATGAATGAAATGTGGCTCCAGTACCTGAAGTCCTGCTTGTTCTCAAGTCTGACCACGGGGCTGGGTGCACTCAGTGAAGGAACCGTATACACTTCGTATTTCATTGCTTGCTCACACTTGCCCTCCTCTGATACACACTCTGCACGACTGATCTTCCCCTGAAACAATGTTCCACCTGCTACTGTCATCTCATGAACATTTGCTTCCCCTTCCTAGTGTCCCCCTAGAATGCCATTGCAGGAAATTCATAATTTGATAATCATGCTTCTTACCATATTCTCAGCAACTTCTGATAAATTTTATTCACTTTATTCCATAGTCCTCACACATCAATAATCTTCCTTAACTTCCTAGCTGCAGGTTAACCCATTCGGAATCATTTGTTTTTCTTTCTCTTCTTTGGCAAATCCTTTCTATCTTTTAAGGTCCTTTTCTTGTCTCTCTACCATCCTGCCTTCCTGAACTTTTTTTTCCGTTTAAGTAACCTTTCAATCTCCTTCCCCAATTTCCTCATAAACATTTAGAGTTTATTCCTCACAAGTTAGATAGCAGTTTATGAATGGCCAGGCATAATGGACTCAGAATGAGTTGGTACACCTGAGG